ATGTTTATATATTTTAGTATCTTTTCTGAAGTATTTGGTAATTATGTATCTGTTTTTTTTTTTTTTGAGTACGGTAGCTAGGGTGAACTTTATACGGAATTACATTGTCCATTTTGTTACATTTATGGGCCATTTCGTGCTTTCATCCACACAGTAAAGTATGTGATTGCACCGTGTCAAATTTTGTACACATATATATATATATGTATGTCTGTATGTATGTATTTACTTTTTGCCATTGTGTTTTTTTTTTACTTTTTCCCAATTCTCCCAAATCTATTAAAATTTATTAATTGCATATATACTAACTTTGATTTTACCATCGGCGCCGCCGGAGAACACTTGATTATTGTGGTAGGCCAGGCAGGTGATATCACCCTCGTGCTTCTCCGTCGACAATTTATCCACTTTTCCCATTATACACGTATGTTTTTATTACCAAATGGCAAGAACTTTTCTATGTAATACGTGTTTTTGTATTTATTTTACTCTTAAAAGATTTTTATTTGGCGCTCTTTAGTCCGCTGCTTTCAATTAAATCTTAACAATTTACAGTGGAAATACTTGTATTCGCAGTTATTTATAGGCAACAATTTTCGCTTCTCTTATGTGCAAAAAATATTGCTATGGAAAATTATTTTCTACTCTCAAAACTTCCGGAAGATTCGCGTGCCATCAGAAGCAGAAATTAAAACACGACTGATACATTAATTTCTCGAAGGGCTATTAAATCTACTGAGCGAAGAGAAGAGCATTTTCTAAATTTAGCGTAATTCAAAAATAAATTGATTTCGTTGGTTACAAGAATGGCATAACACAGAATCGCTTGATTTATAGATTCAAATACTATAAAAACTGAACTTGAAATTTATGGATGTATGTATGTACATTAGGGTGGTGCAAAAATGCATGTGGGAGAAAAAGTAAAGTCGGAACCTTTATCCTCTCACCCTCTGGGATTGTTCTATACCGATAAAAAAAAATCCCCCTTTGTTTTATTTTGAAATCACAAAATATTTAGAGGTCGCTCAAAGTTTCCCATGTATTTTAATGGGGGGATAAATAAAAAATCTTTAGTAATAAAATTATATATTATCCTGTTATATGCATGGAGTCGAAGACGTCGATAACGATGTTTAACCGCAGATTAGTGTTAACCAGACATTGAGTAACCGGCCCTTAGAATTTTTTGCTTGACAGTTTTTTTTAATTTGACGTTTTCTATGATCGCAAAGTATGGCCATCCCGAGAGCCGAATTAAATAGGCCGGAAAACGTTTTAAACGTCCCATTGGTTAAAGCTGGAAATTATGTCCTACCACCACTGTTATTCACGGTCTTGCAGAGGCCTTGCACAGCGCACGTATTGGACGGTTTGCAGCGTGCAAAGGCTCTGCAAGACTCCGAGAATACCCCTAATTGTAAAAGAAAATTTAAGTAAATAGCAACGTTTTTTGTTATCTTAAAGTGGTGTTAATTTTTTATTCTCTCTTCTAGTACTTTTTTTATCGGTTTTATATCTTTTTGTGAATTTTATGTATTTTCATAGGACCTCAAATTGGTAAAATTATGAGGGAAGTGAGATTTTTGAACAAGCTAAGCTGAGCTAAGCTAAGTGAGCGTGGCTGAGCCAATTTTCCAAACATTTATAATATTCTTATTTCTCGTCTCAAAATCATAGCAAACATCAATTTTGAGTAGTGATGTGCCGATTCGAGTCGACTCGAGTTCTGACTCGAGTATTTTAGAAGTACTCACGTACTCGAGTAAGCAAATTATAGTATTCGCATACACAGACTCGAGTACGGGTCTCGAGTACTTATAATTATCAAACACCGAATCAGGTATTTTTGATATATAAATGGCGGTTTAGCGTTAAAAAAAATATATATTGTATATATTTACCAAATACACCACACAACTAAATTAATTTTAATATCGTTATAGGTATTAATTGCCAAAGATGAAAGGAATTTTAAATTCCAAAGGAGTAATTTTATTGTTTATGAATCTTGATCTCATGGAATATTGTCATTATAATTGAAGTACTAGTTGAACTTTTAAGGTACTGAAGATTTATTTGTTTTAACTCATTATTTACTTTGGATATTTTTTTTATGACAGACTACTAAGTTCTAGTTCTACTATGATAAATAAAGCAACTGTTATTGAACCCTATATTTATTTAATTTTAATTATTATTTGTAAGTATGTAAGAATTAGATTTCTATGTTTGGATCTACATAAATCGGATATACTATCTTGGAGTTAATAATAATATCATGTTAAATACAAAGTCGGCATTTCGGTTGGGTGCTTGTTCAGCAGTCGAATCTATAACGTATTCGAATACCGAGCTCTGAACTCGAATACTTGATCCGAGTATCTGACTCGAATCCTGATCGATTCTTTTTTTAATGAGTACCAAAATACTCGAGTACCAGAAATAGCCGACTCGGCACATCACTAATTTTGAGTGAATAAGCTTTACTAGTTACCGAAATATCGCAGTTTTCGTTTTTCTGAAAACTACTGTTACATGAGAGTTAGGCGTGGTTATTGACCGATTTTGCCCATTTTCAATACCATCCGTCCCACGCTGAAAAGAAGTACACATACCAAGTTTCTTTAAGAAATCTCAATTTCTACTCGAGTTATCATGTGCACAGATGGATGGACGGACGGACGGATGGACAGACAGTATAAAAATTATTTCAGAATATTCTACAACGAGAATCTGATGATGCTGAGTTGAGAAAAAAAAGTCAAGAAAACTCGTTTGAGTAATATAGTCACAAATAATATTTTTGCAAAAATTTAGCTTTAATAAAAAGTTTAATAACTCAGTAAACTTTCATCCGCTTTTTGAAAATAAACACTGGTTTTTGCGTTATTAAATTTAGGACTAGTATGGTTTTCTTATAAAATAGTGCGCAAAAATCTCACCTAATTTAAAAAGGCGAGAAAAGTAAAAAAAAGTGTGTTCGCTGGGTAAATACACACAGATCTCTTAAGTTCTCTTTATTCACATATACAGTGAAAGCTCTCCTAACGGACACCTCTATTAGACGGACACCTCCCTTGGGCGGACATTTTTTCCTATACCAAGTTTTAAGTATAAATTTCGGAACAAATTACTCTCTCATAAGCGGACACTCTCTTGGCCGGACGCGGACAGTTATTTTGCATAAAATTGACACAAAAACTCTATTGGGCGGACGCGAACCTCTTATCAACGGACATTAAGATTTCTTTTCATAACAAATCAAACAAAAACCTCCGTTGAGCGGACGCGAACTCCTCATAGGCGGACTACTAAATGGAAAAAGGGGACTTCCCGCACAAAATGTGATTGTTATGCACACATTTAGTTTGGTTTGCGCAGTGGTTTAGGTTCGTTATTTGAATTGTCAGAAACCCTTGGAGACTGATAAAAACAAGAAAATTATTGATGAAAAAGGTACTGACACTGAAAAAAATTAAAAATAAAACTTACGTCAATCGACAATTTCCCAGTTTTTTATTTAATGAATCTATGATTCTATGTAGTTTATGGACTAAAATGTAACATTTATTTTTATTTTGTTATTACTTAATATGTACTTACGCACATAAATGAAATGTGCACTTTTGAAAAAATACATGCACATTTTTGTTTGAACGATGTAATATCAATATCTTTTATTCAAATAAGAAATAGTGACCATTCAATTAAATAAAACATTAAAAAGTTCTAAAATAGGCTTCCCCTCCATTAAGCGGACACCTCTCTTGGGCTGACAAAAAATGACTGACGGTGAGTGTCCGCCCAAGGGAGGTTTCACTGTATATCGTTCGAAAGTCCCATTTTTCTTTTTTTAAACCCGGCTATAAACCGAAATTCGGTTTATAATGGACAAAGTTACAGCTTTATAAGTGCCCAAAAGTACGAAAACCCGGTTTTTTAACGGTAAATCAAGATTTTGGGGATGTTTGGCAAATTTGATGTGTCCTGTTGTGGGACGCATCTGTGCGGATGACTGGCTGCTCGTCGCCCCTTGCATGTTCAAAGAACAGCGCTGCTTCTTCGGCGGTTAGCTGGTCCAGAAAATTGCCCCTTCGCCTGACGCTTTTTGAGCCTTCTAGCGCACTGTCACCGCTTTTTGGTGTCGCTAGTGAACCTGCAGTGCTACTGTACCCGCCGCTGCAGGCGTTGTAGTTGTTTTAAGTGCTGGTTTTTGTTTTTTGTTGTGGTTTTTTTATTGGTTGTACTCATCTTTTTCGTACGACCGCCTGCTCGGCGTGCCTAGCTCAGCAGTTTATATATTTGTAGGGGACTCGAAAGGTCCGCCGCGCTAGCTCCCCTTGTCCCGGTATCGCCACCGGTACTCTGTGATGCGGCCAGGTGGCGATGTCTTTCAATACTGCGTTGGTGCTGTGCACGTTTCGAAATCCATGCTGGTGTTCGGCTGGTTCGTCAGGCCAGGGTGGAATAGTGTATTTATGGTTTTTATCACTGGTGTTACGAAAGGGATTGGTGTCCACTGGGTATACGAGAAAGATTGGTGTGCACGTAAACCCTAGTAGGGCAGGCACCTTGCCGTTGGCGCGGGGCTTACCTGAATCACCACTCAGTCCTCTTCTAGAGAACAGCGGCTAAGAAGTGCCACCTCCTAATCTAGGGTGTTAAGCGAAACCGTGCCTATTGGACGGTTTGCAGGCAGGAGGGTATAAACCGGATAAAACCAGATAGAGTATACTTACGTTCCTAGGACAGTTATTTTAGCAGCATTTCTCATTTCCGGCCAATTTTTTTTTTTATTTTTTTTTTTTTTTTGCATAATCAAATCAAATAAGTTTATTTGTAAATATAAGATATATTCAGCGAAGTCAAGGCAACTGCAACGTCTTTATTTTCTGTCCCATTTAATTTCTTTAAATTCACATTATTTTCTCCTCCAAAATATCTCCAAGTCATATCTAATAGGATGGCAGCACCAGTAAAAGCCTCAAATTTGACAAGCAGAGGCGTCGACGCGTAGTCAACGACGTCAGCGTACATCAAACGTTGGATGTGTGCGTGTGCAATATGCAAAACGCGGTGAAAGAAAATTGTTTTACTTGAGATTTCGCGTATTATTCGACGGTTTTATTTATTGAAATCCATATAACTACGAATAAATTGCTACAAAAATGTGCAGTGAAATAAATAAAGTATTTACGCTACAAAAGCGTTAAGAGGCAATAAGAAAAACAAAAATATTTTTACTACGCTTGCAGAGTGGTGAAAGGTGCACCAATTGGCTTGAGCCAATGAGCCAATGTGCAATATTGCAAGTATTAGTACAAACTCCAATGTAGGAAAAAACACAAAATAAAACATATTTTCGAAATTTGTGTATAACCGTAAAGAACGTTAAATTGTGCAAATTAGTGAGTTGCAGCCTAAAAGCCATTAGTTGCAATGGAATTGAGGGACGCTGGAGGGGATGAGCACGCCAGCAGTGAGGCGTTTTACTATGCTCTACTGCTAACTGTGAATGTAACATTGACGGTGATTGTGCTTTTGGCAGCCTGTCTCTGGTGCAAGCGTCAAGCAACAAAGTAAGTCGAAAAGTCGAAACATTTGGTGGTATTGGTAACATTTTAGTTAACTTGCTGATTTGCAAAAGTCCATTCAGTTTACAAATCTGGCAGACAGACTGGCTCTCATATGAATGTGTGTATATGTATGCATACACACCCTATACATAGGCAAATTTGGGAGGAAGTGGGTGGTCATAAACTTCAAAGTTCATATGTATGGGAAATAATTGGCGTCGAACGAGGCTGAAGCGTTCACAAAGTCGCCAACACAGCAGAGGAGTTGCACGCGATCGACAAAAATCTACCGCCACAATGGCTACGTCAACAAAAGAGCCCCAATCAGCACCCTACTGCCTTTAAAAGTTTCAGCTGGAGTATATAAGTAATATTTACATGCATACACACATTCAGGGTTATTATTACTAGTCAGCTAGTGGCGAAAACGAATACGAGTATGTTTGTTTATACATACATATGTATGTACTTACAGATTAAATGCATTTGGGTTAGACTTATTTTACTTTCATTAAAAATTTTTTTATGTAATTGCATTCACTTTTCTTTTTCACGTTCATTTTTAGAGATGATTTGGGTGGATTGGAGGGTATGGTTAAAATGACCAACCCTGACGATGTCGTCGTCGTCAAAGTGGCAGCGAATAGTGAATCCCATACTGACTTGAATGTTTCTGCAGTTTCTAACACCGACTCCGAGAAAAGGTAATAAACAACATTTATAAAATCCGTAAAATTCTAAACATTTCTATACATTAATGCACAGAGCAAGCACTGCAGCACATCGAAGTCTGCCGGATATACCAGTTGGTGATGCAAATTGCGATAATGGATCTGAACTATACGAAACTGTAGCGGACAAACGTCTTCTAGATGAAGGAAACGATCGCAATAAAAGTCGTAAGTGTCATTAATGGTAATTATCATTAGATTATAATCTAGTATTTTCTTAATTACATTGCAAACATTAAAACATTTCGAACTAAGAATAAATAGTTTGAAATAAATGTGTTTAAAAAATAGGTTTATTATGTGCCATGCTTCCAAGCATTAAAAAAATATTTAAAAAAATTTACCTTAGCCCCGTTTAAGGTAATTTCTCTTCAGAAATAAAACTTACTCTAACTTTAAATTACCAATTTCAGCCACTCCAAGTCTAAAAAAGCAAACAAGTGTATCTCAGCACAGTTCCATAAGTCAAGCAGATGACGTCAGTTCACCTTATTCTAGAGTGAGAAATCCGCCGCATGACTACGCCAAAGTAAGATATGGAAAATGAAATTTTAATAATTCTTTTTTTTTAAGTAAATGTAGTTTGTAATTTAAAAAAAATTTAAATGCGTATTTTTCTATTTACATATCTTAAAACAAATTTTTATCTTTTAATGAAGGTGCGAAACACGGAACATCCCTACGCTCAAGTAAACCCACCGTCAGCTTCAGCAGCAGCAGCCGCTGCAGCTGTGGTAGCGGCCGGCAATAGCAATAATGCTATATACAGCAGTCAACCACCACAGCTTAACGGAACACATTCTCGCAACTCAAACCACAGCAATACATCGCAAAACGAGTCTCCTTCACAAGCAGAAATTCCAGCCGCTTCGGCCATTGCAGGTATGATCTCAGCCAGTCAAGATCTTCCATATATGACACCGCCTATAACAAATCAACACTTTAGTGGCGACTCGCAGGACTCTTCAAGTAATTTGCATTTATAAATACGTATATCAAAATATGAACAACGCAATACACTTCAACATTATTTTCAGAAGGCTACACCAGCATCAGCGTGCGGGAGCCGCTTGCAAATATTCTAGCACAACAGCCGCCAAAGCAAACTCAACGGATAGCTACGCTGACTCGTGATGCAAGCGATTCGCATTATGCCACTGTATCAGACGATTCTGGTTAGATAAACTAAATCTTGCTTTTTTAATAATAATATAATCAATATTTGTTTTCTCTCTTCCTTGTTAGACGAAACATATGCAGCTATCGAGGACCCGAATATTCGCGGAAATCCAAATGTTCTCACTGACATCTATACTAGTGGTTCAGAGACGTATGCACAAATCCAACCTCTGCAAATGAGTTCAATGGTCGTATCTGTGGAAATCAATAATACAAATAACAGTAGTCACAGTATCAATGCTAATACTGTTCATGCACATAACGTACAATCTTCAGAATATAAAATATCGAATACATCCACTGTATCGCACCACCATCAGCATGGAAGTCACACACAAAGGCCTATTTCTGAGCATGCCACTCCTGTACCACCACCTGTGGATAGCCTACGCACACAAAAGCACTCACGTCAGCCCTCCTCATCATCAAATAACAGTTCATTGGTTTGCAATTTAGGTTCACCAAAGCCCGAAAAACGACAAGCCAACTCTCCGTTGCCACCAACGCCCAAATCGAACATTACCTCGTGTCGTAGTTCCGTTATATCTGTGATCGAATGCGGTAGCGGTGCTGGAGACTTCAATCCAAGTGGCGTTATAACGGCCACATCGATCAATGCAGTTACCGCTGCATCAGCTACTACAGATGAAATATCCCCTCAGAAAAATAAAAGTAAAAGCCTGAGTCCATCCAAAGATATCGAGGGCATGTATGCAAAGGTATGCGCGGAACACTAGTTATACTCATGTATAAAAAAAAATGTAACTGAAATCGAAATTATAAATGTTTAATGTGTTTAGGTGATGAAAAAGAACAAGTTATCACGCCACTCACCTTCTTCACAAAACAACTCTCCCGTAATGACGCGGAAATACGGTGATAACAACGCTGCGTTAGGCATTAGCCCATTAGACATGGCTGCAGCCGAGCTAATGGAAACGAATCGCGTCAGTGTATTCAACATTTCAAATGCCACGAGCGATAAAGGGCGAATTCGTAGCAACAGCTACGGTTCCAAGGATCATGGTTATGAAACAATACCTGCCGACGCGGTCCGCCCATCAGTACTTGAAAATCGCAAATCAGATTGCTACAGCAGCTTATTGCGAAAAGAGCGACCAAAAGAAATCGGTGAGTAGGCTCCTTTGGCAAACTCGTTTTTATGCTCTATCTAGTTTATTAATTGCCTTTCTTCTGAGTATATTTTATTTACTTATTTCCTTCTCTCTCCTCCTACTCCTTCCAACTCATCTGTATGTATCTTGCAAAAATGAAATGCAAATGCTCCAAAATTCTAAATTTTTTATTCAACAAATTTGTAAAACAAACAAATCGTTTATAGTTGTGCGTAAATGAGATCTTACCGCAGTTTTGCTTTTGAGCCAACGAAAATTTCAGCATTTTTTATTTGGAAGCAGCGGTTAGTATATACATTAATGCTTTTTACTAATTCAGTGGCGTTTTACTATTTTTTATAAAACAAAGTTTATATTAACACAAAATTTGCATGTTAATATTTTTGTTAATTACACTTTAACTGTTTATTGCACGAGAGAAAAGCAGTAATCAGGTTTAATGAGATATTCGTGTTTAAAAAAAATGATTAAAACAAGTAATTTTTAAGCAAAAAATAAAATCGACTTCACATCTCCTATAAAAATTTAAGATCATCGTTAATCTCTTCATGATCCAATGACGGGATTTAAACCAAGTTAGAATGGGACCTGTGTGGTAAACCCTTTCCTTTAAAAAAAGAATTATAGAAATCGGTCCAAAACGTGGTCCAAAATTATGCGGTAACATACATAAAAAAAAAATAATAAAAATAAAATATTCCGACGAATTGATAACCTTCCTCCTGTTTGTGAAGTCGGTTAAAAAGAAAACAAAGTTAGTTATTTCATAGAATTAGAAAGTGATATTATTATCTCCATTAATAACATTGTTCGATAAACTATTTTCTAGAATATGCTGCTGGAATATATGAATCGGAATGGTACATTTTTTATAAGAGAGCAAAAGTTGTTTTTTCCTCGATTTAGGCCCGTTTAGAACGGCGAACTCTTCCAATTGTAGTTCATTCCTAGAGGAACAGAAAGCAGCAGAGTAGCTCAAAATTATTGTTTCTAGTCTAACTCCGGATCAAAAAGCTTCTTCTGCTGTGTGTACCTTTCGATGCTCACATCTTTCCCATATGAGTACAAGCCTGTCAAACACTCGTAGAGGCATTCTATTGGTACAGCAGATAAACGATTCGACATTCTGCACCATTCACCAGCATTATAGGTAGTTGCATCAGCTCATCCTTCTCTGCACTCCTATTAAAAAATACAGGTTTATAATCGACGCTTTTTCTGTGTCCAGAAATTCATCAATCCAAATCATCAGTCTCTTTTATCTTTAAACTATATTTGAATGAAATGTCAAATATGCACAACCACGGTTAAATTCCGAATGCGAACTTTTTTGCGCAAAAAAGGCCGTTCTAACAATTATAATTTAGAAATAAAAGACACTGATGATTTGGCTTGATGCATTTCTGAACAGAGCCTTTGCTCGCCTGTTCACTATATTTTTAGCTCAGCACCCCCTTCCCGATCGAAACAGCACGCATCCTAGGCTTACCCTTAATTGAGCTTGACGGCAACAATTGATAGACTACTAGAATATTTAGACAAAGCTTAGTAGGACCGCTACAACAACAAAAATAATATCTTAGTAGAGTTCATTCGGGCGGTGTATTTCCAACTATGATTATTATTACTAAATAAGAGTTGTTTGCTCATGTTCCATACTCTATTCTCTATTTTTATTTAGGAAAAAAACATAAAATCTTACAAAAAAAATAGATTTACGTAATCTGCACCTCAATTTTTATAGAATAGTGGAAGTAATATACATACTAATGGCTCCTAAACTTTGTCATTGTTGGTCTGTATTTAAAAATTATCAAAATCCTAACAGCTTACCAATGGGACATGTTCTTAAAATTTTCACTTAGACTGTACGAATTATCTTGTTTGCATGCTTTTTTGCACTAACATTTTTTCCTTATATGTAAATTTATAATCTTTAACAACCCACACTTCTCCACCCACCGTCTGAAAAGGTTAAATTAATGAACTACATACAAATGAAATAAATCATTGACTTCTATAATTTTTTTTTAGTACAAATACCTAATCCACCTGCAGCAAACGCAAAACCACCGATAAATTCAGATGTAAACAGCGACAAGCACTATGAGACTATTGCCGTGCCGCTTGACACAACGAGCAACAGCGATCCCGGCTATGAAACCCTCCAAAAGCCAAACAAACTAAATCAATCCGATCCAGATAACGAGAAGAAATCATCTGACTACGATCCCAATTACGAAGTGCTGGAACGTCCAAAATCCGCCGGCCTATCTGATGATGGCTATGCCAAAATTAATGAGAAAAAACATTTGGCCCTTGATGACGACTCTACTGACGGCTACAGCAAAGTAAAAGGCGAGGAATGCGATGATGGTGCGACTGGTGGTTACAGCACGATCGGCACGGATGCCAATCACAATTACGCCAGCATCGCTGAAACGAAAGAAGAAATGTGTGGCGTTACACCAGACACCGAAGACTCCGATCACTATGCGCGCATCGCTGAAGCACCACGAATACCACAATCAGCATCTGAGCTGCCACTCAGCGCGTTGCATACGCCAACGGGTAAGCTTGCGCTGAGCGTAAGCGTTGCTTCTGGTGTCACACAAGATACACTGGCAATTACTTCGCCTTCTTCAATTAATTCATCATCGTTGCTGGCTAATAGTTCGACAGTGTCGTCAACCAATGCGTTGACCGGCAGCAGCAGCACCACTAGTACGATAAGTTCACGACAAACCCCTTCGACATCTTCGCAATATGAATCACTCACTGGCAGCGAAACAGATCCAAACTACGAATCCGTTTGTTACCCGAGCACGGGACGTGAAAATCCATACGAGAGGCTACAGACCGAATATTCTGACACACAGTTGAGCAGTAGTAGTCCAATAACGCCAGATGAGTTGCGACAACAACAGAAACATAAGCAAGGCAATGCACAAACGCACAAAACGACAACAACCGGTGGTAGCACAAGTGCTTCATCACCAGCAACGACAGTAACGAACTCTGATTCAGCAGCGGCAACTATAATAGCAGCGGTGCCGTTAAAGACCACACCAAATGGACTAATGCCAAAAGCGAGACCAGACGGAACAGCAACTAAAGTGCAAAATACCAGTGAACTGAATGCCACGGATGTGGTAGTCGATGATTACTTTCAAGTTTAGTTAAATAATTAGTATGTAGTAATTGGGCTAAGAGCACATTTTGTGGCAATTATTAGATATGTCTGTATTTATTATTATATTATCTTAGTATATACAATTTTTATGCGTTACACGCATATTTAAATGTTTGGAGAATATAAGGCAGCGAAGCTGATGCTTTACGTACGTACACATATTGCACTTGCATTGCAAAAAAATTTGCAATTACCATTTCTTCATGTGTTGTTTCTTTTTTTCACATATAACTAGAAGTAGGTACATATCATTGAGTGAGATGCTAATGGAATATATTTGTTGCATGGAATATTGTATTTCAATAAAAAAGATATGCCAAATTATTATATTTGCACCTTCAAACATAAATATACTCTATGTTTATTTCACTTTTGTTATCATTCGAAATTTATCTTTATAACTGCATGAAAACTTTAGAAGACGAAAGAAAAGCTTATGAAAGCTATATCAGATAAGATATTAACATAAAATCTCTTAAGATCTTCTTCTAAGTCGAGCCGCAGAAGCAAAAGTTTTTTTTTGTGTAATTTGTTACAGCGAAAATTCATCTTTATAACGCTAAACAACTGTACTTATGTATAACTGTTACACACATTTATTAAAAAAAAAAAACTGTTTTCTTAATTAATGCCGAATGCGAAGATCGTAGCTAAACCATTGTTAACTTAACCACGAACAATATTTTAACTGTGGGTTCATCATATTCATAGTTGCTAGATAGATTTTTAATGCTAGAAATTATACAACGCTGAAAAATCAATACTTTATAGAAATTTATTCGGAGTTTAACTATGGGGCAAGAGGTTTAGTACCAGTGGTCGGCAAATCTCATCCCATATTACGCTTGCATGTGAAGCAGTGTTTTCCTGTCCAAGAGGGGCCTGCGAACAAAGAAACGTTACTCGCGACCCACAATGGTATTTGTCTGTCGATGCCTCCATGATAAACATCACAAAACCTTCACGGGTGGAAGGACCTCATCAAACTGTACGTAAGCCCTCAATTCTAATAGGAACAACAACACAGCGAATCATCTTCAGCCCATGCCACGATAGCATTGTGCGGTGGGTTCTACGCTACCGGTTTAACTCGGAGACCTCACTCCGACCAAGCACCATCACCCCAATGTTTTTTTCCATGGGAGCATGACCCAAAGTACTAAATCGTCAGGCCCCACAGGCACAACCATCAGCACAGCCAGCGCGTCAGTACTCACCCCACACGTAACCATCATAGGGCCACAATCAATCAAGTTGTTGCAGTTTAGTTGCAACGGACTTCAAATAGTTGATTGCTTTAGCCCGCCAGATATAACAATAGCCAGCGGGGGTCTGATAAACTGCATTGGATGGCAACCTGTCCATAGTAGTCGCGATAGATCAGACGAGGGATTTATTACATGCGAGAACCGCATATTCATGAATACATGGAAGGCAAACTGTGACGGTTCCACGGAATTCGCCGACCGCAAATTCAATGCTCTTCCTCTACCATCATGCGCGCGTGTATCAGTGTGCAATATCATCAACGCAGTAGCCGCTCGCATCATACCAGCCGGCTGGATCGCCAAAATCCGTCCAGGCTTTCCCACTGAAGCGGCGGTACTCGCAGACGTGCGTGATCGAATCCGCTAGGCTAATTCAGGTTATCCCCGTATAAGAGATCTCAACAGGGACATTAGAAACCTGGTTAACGAACACAACATGGAGTGAACATATAAAGACCTGCAAACTCAAAAGTGGAGTCAGCAAACTGTGGTCCACAGTCAAGTCTCCCTCCAATCCGACGAAGCGTAAGGACAATGTCCCTCTCACCTTCGGCACCACCGCCACGTCGGATCCGCGGTCGTGCGCGCGCTTATTTAGCCGGCAAGTCATTGCACACCCAAAGTGAGACGAAACCCGCAGTGTGCTGATTAAAGCGCATAAACTCTGCCTCCGAGACACACCACCGTGCTTTACCATCGAAGAAACGCAGGCACCTATCAACCACATCAAGGCGTTAGGCCCAGATGGAATATCCATGTAGATGGTGAAAAAGCTAGGACCTGCAGGAGTCGAGTACATGACCGCCACTTTCAACTTGTCTGTCCACCCTGATTATCCCCGAGATGAGGAAAATGGGTGGGCTCATTTCCATTCGAAAAATGCACAGCACAATAACAGCATTAAACACCATTACCACACACATTAACAAGGGTCTGAACCAACGTCGAGTACGGTCCTAGTCGCAGTAGACTTGTCGAAGGCATTCGACGCGGTGAACCACGCGACCCTCTGCCTAGACGTCCTGGACACGCCTCTTCCAGCTACGACGAAACGGTGGATAACCATCGTCAGACTTTGTTATCGAAAAAACCGACTATATCACCGATCTTTCCAATTTCTTCACTGCAAGGAGCCTCCAAATCTCCGCCGCCAAATCCACCGCCACACTCTACAACCTGGACCAAGAAGGTTTGGCTAGAACGACGATTTCGTCGATGGCGCCATAATACCGACGACTAATCACCCCAATATCCCGGTAGTGACGTTCGATAGCTTCTACTCCAAAGCCACATGCAACAAACTTCGAGCCCGGAACAAAGTTCTTTAAATCGATTAAGAAACGGTGGCGATAAGCGATACGCAGTGGAGGAATCTCCAAACTTGCCAGAACGCAGCTCTACGTACGGCTACAGGTTGTCATCTCATGTCGTCCGAACATCACCTCCATGAAGAAAACCAGATGCTGGCGGTAAAAGAACACAACACGTGCGTTGGTACCGAGAGAACCACCCCAACAAGGCCCTGCTTCGAAATGAACCGCCCCACGACAGGTGAGACGACACCTGCACGACTAGAAGGCAGACATTGAGCCATAGGTAGACTATCCCTTCGACGCAGCAAGATACAGAGGGGCGCTCAACAGCGCAATGACAACATGGTCCTAGGCGGTCGACCGCCGCCCATAAACTTAGAAGAAACAGAACTGCCGAGAGAAACCAGTTGAACCCTAGCACAACTCCGTTCGGGGTAATGCCAACGACTCAACAGCTACCTCTCTCGGCTGAACAAGGGCAAGGTGCCCACGACACCCAGCACCTCTGCACCCTAACACCAGAAGCACTCTGGACCGCGCCCATCGACGCTGCCCGCTTTCTCGGCCTCAGGCTTACAGAGTCGGAGGGTGAAGAGGACGATACATGGCAGAACCTGGGGGGTTAAGTACTGCTGCTACAACAACAACAACAACATAACATTTGTGCCCCTGGGCGGACACCACTAAATCAACAGTCAGTCAGTTAAATATCGCCCAAAAGCCAGTGGTCTAATTGTAGCCCAATTACATGTGTTTGAAAATTCTAAAAGTGCCCACCACTAGTTTAAACTCTTGTTAATAAAGTGCTCTGGATTCAAGTTTGCATTAACTTCCTGGGTGCAAATATAAAACCCTATGTTCCATTTCTAATACTTTTTCAGGTTACTAGGGGACATCACTATAAAAGTTGCAGCAAACGAAAAATATTTCCAAGCGAAAAAAAATTTAACTATAGAATCTGTTTTAGTAGTTAGGCCTTACAATTCTAAATTTCGAACGGTGGCTATCCAGTTCAATATACTAAGTATGTATATTCAATATTTATGTATTATTATATACACTAATGCACATAATATGTACACTATAAATTTATCAAATCAGAACAATTAAACATTTAAAAAAATTCCACATACACAACTGAATATTTTGACAAACCTTCAGCGAATCAGTTAAGTTGAAACACACAAAAATTAAAAACAAAAATTGAAAGTAAAAATTCTAATCTTGCGGCATTTATGCACTAATTTTTCAATAAATTTATTTATCATATAGCACAATTTCTTATTCAAGATATTTCTTGTTTTTTATTGTACTTTTTATCACTTCGACCTTTGTGTTTTTGCCTTAAACCTAAATTTATTTCATTGTTTTTACGTTTTTAACAGATTATTAGCATGTAATTGTTTACATATTAACACGTAAAGTATGTAATTAAGCAAACACTTGGGTGCTTAGTTCAATGGAAAATAAATTATTTATAATTATGTTTTATAAAGAAAACTACTTTGGATAAGCCCATATGGATGGAACTAAATTTTGACAATCACTGGCTAATCAAAAGCAACATCAAAATTTTCATTGCGCAATTTATGCAGCATTTCTTAGCATCAGCAACATATCATCAAGAAAGCAACAAGGCTGTGCTGTAAATATTACGTAGCTCAGCACACCCAAACACCCACCCAGCAGTTTCGGGAATCAGCTGAAATGACAGAAATACATATGGGTCACTCCGCTACCGCAGACCCGAGTGTCGATCGAACGATTAGATTTTGGACCGTTGGGGTTGATACTGATGATGTCGACACCTGAGCCGGTTCTACGTACCGGAATGACTCGGGTTTTACCCGACCAAGGGCTGTTGGTTCGGCGATCTAACCCGTTTAGGTCGGCGAAGTTTCTCAGAATTTGTTCGTCCATAGGGCTACATTTGCTACGTATTCTTCTGCTCTAGGCTGGCATCGAGTCAAACTCAGGGCCAGAAACCTACACCTGCTGTGTATGCCAGAGACGACTACACCACAACTCCACCTCAGTCAATTGCAATGCTTGCGACGGGTGGAGTCACCTCAGAGTCTGCTCAGGACTACGGACTCATCGACAGTGGACCACATCATTTGTGGCCCCCTGCTGATCAAACAGAGCAGCCTTCACGGCTAACCCCAGTCCACCTAAGCAGGTCAACACAAACACTATAACACAACCACACAATAGACCACACCGCAACCGCGACAGACCACACAACAGTCACAACCGCACCCCCACCCACATGCCTCCTACAATCTGCACAGTATGTCAGACCAGGATATTCCGTAATGTGACATTAGTCCAATGCAACACCTGCATTGGCTGGTGCCACTTTGGGGCTTGTTCAGGTCTGCGCACGATGCGAGATTGGACGAGGAACTTTGAGGGCCTGTGTTGCGCTGCTCGGTCGCATACCCAAGTTGACCCGCCACCACAGGGCGGAAACCTCCACAGCAGCGCACACAGCCAATGGCGGCAAGGCTACACACATCCCTCACACGCCGCATAACAACACGTCTCCCGAACCACATGAAGCTCCTTCAACTTAACTTACTTAACCTTAACTGCAACGGACTTTAGAGCAAGATCGAAGAGGTAACCGTCTTCATGGGAAGGCATGGTATATTGATGATTGCGGTCTAAGAGACGAAGTCGCATAGCAATTCAACATTGTTGAATTGTGCCGTATACAACGTGCACCGTCGAGATCGCGAGCGAGATAATGGTGGTGGCTTAGCGTTCATCACGCACCACACCGTGCAGTATCGTCTTATTGAAGCAAATATCGACCGCAGGGATACCACCCTAGAATATCAGGGCATTGCTATCCGGTCAGGCGATGTTAAGCTCGAAATATTTAACGTTTATATACCTCCTGTCACTTGATGCCC